TACCGAGGAAGATCATCCAGAAACAGGACCAAATAGAGCAATGGAACCACATACGACAATGAATAAGGAGGATAACCAGAACGTAGGGGGACAAGCTAAAACTATAAAGAAAGACAATAAGAAGTCAGTACCTAAAAAGATTCCAGTGGCCCGGCGTAAAAATATAGAAGAGGAATTACCTCAGATAGCTTCCCTAGTCCCCCCATACTCAATAGTAACCGATTTAAGAGATAAACTGGCGAATATAACTATTGGACAGTTATTGAGAGTGGTACCCACCATGAGACAAGAAGTAACCCGTGCGTTACAAAAGAAAAAAATAATCAATCGAAGAAAAGTCCAAGGAAACGCCAACACCCAACCCGCCTTAAAAGCAACCGCCCTTTATTGTGACGCCAAAGTCCACAATCGGAGTATACCCCTAATAGTGGATAGTGGGTCTTCGGGAAGTGTAGTTGCTTCTCACCTCCTAAACGACCTTGGAATAAGGATCGAAAGACCCTCAGTCGTGAACATAATTAACATTCACGGGGAAAGTAAGAGGGCAATTGGCGAAATCTCTAATTTTCCCTTCACTATTGGCGGTGTAGAAATACCCATCGATGTCATAGTAACGGATGCAAACTCCTACTGTGCAATTGTTGGTAACGATTGGTTAGCAAAAGTGAATGCAACCATCGACTGGAATTCGTCCGAAATGTCGATTTTATAGGACAATAAAGAAATTACAGTCTCAGTCGAATTCCGCAAAATGTCAAGGTTGTCGTTGGATAAGGAATGCCCTGTAGTGGTTAAAGACCTAGAAAACGAGGTTGAGAAAGATACCGAAGACGAATTGGAAGATGAGTACGAGGAAGAGGAGTTGGAAGACCAAATTTATGCATGGTTCGAAATTGAGGAAATGGACAATGAAAAGTATAATTTAAATAAAATGGGTTGGAAAAGGGACGAGATTAAAAAGAACGACCCGAACGAAAGTGAAAATTTTAGTCGTTGGCTGGTTACATGTTTAATCTCTCAAAGAGAGCAAGAATATAAACCGATATCAGACCTTTTCGACTATTATTACGAAAATGAGGTTCAAATCGGGATTGAATACCAGGTGGGGGATTTGGAGAAAGAACAAAGGGAACAATTGTCCCAATTGCTCGATAAGAATACCAGCCTTTGCGCCCAGAACCTTAATGAGTTGGGTCGCACAAATAAAGTCGTACACGAAATAGTGACTAAGGATGTCCGACCAATAAAACAACGATCTTATAGATACTCCCCTGCGGAAAAACAATTCCTTAAGGATGAAATAGACTCTATGCTTAAAGAAGGAATAATTCGACCATCTATAAGCCCCTGGACGTCCCCGATAGTCCTAGTTAAACAAAAGGCCCGAAAGATGCGCTTTTGCATCGACTACTGGAAATTAAACACAATCACCATAAAAGATAACTACCTGTTGCCCCGAATAGACGAACTCTTGGATTCCCTTAGTGGATCCTCTTGGTTCACTTCATTAGACTTAGCCAGTGGATACTGGCAAGTCGAAATGCATGAAGACGATAAAGAGAAAATAGCATTCATCTCTCCCTATGGGGCTTACGAGTTTAACGTTATGCCCTTTGGGTTAGTGAACGCCCCGGCCACATTCCAAAGATTGATGGATCAAATCTTCCGAGACATCATCGGGAAGTTCGTAGTTGTCTACCTTGACGACCTTAACATCTTCTCAAAAAATTATAACGAACATTTAGAACACTTAACGGAAGTGTTCAGACGACTTAAAGAAGTAGGGTTAAAGCTTAAACCCTAAAAATGCTTCTTTGCAAAAAAGGAACTAAAGTTCCTCGGATATGTGGTCAGTGGTAACGGAATCTCCACTGACCCCGATAAGATTAGTGCCGTCCAGGAATTTCCCATCCCAAAGAATATACGACAACTTCGGGGATTTTTAGGCTTAACGTCTTATTATAGACGGTTTGTGCCTAGATTCACTAATATCGCCACCCCTCTTAACACCCTATTAAAGAAAAACGTTAAGTATCGGTGGACCCCAGAATGTCAAAGTGCCTTCGAATGTTTAAAGAAAAAACTCACGACCGCCCCGATTCTGGCCTATCCGGATTTCACCCAACCGTTTATCCTCTTCACAGATGCCTCCGACCTAGCCCTTGGAGCGATTCTTTCCCAAAGAGATAAAGACGGGAAGGAAAGAGTAATCGTATATGCCAGTCGCTCTTTAGCCCCGGCCGAAAAAAATTATTCCGTAACGAAAAAGGAATGTCTCGTGGTCGTGTGGGCTGTTTCCTATTTTCGGGTTTATCTACATGGGACTCATTTTACGCTTTATACCGACCATTCGGCATTAAAATCATTATTCTCTAACCGGTTACCCCAAAACAGACTGGCCAGGTGGATCCTGACCTTGCAGGAGTACGAATTTACAACCATCCACAAGTCAGGCAAATTACATCTAAACGCTGATAATCTATCCCGAATCTAGAGTAAAAGCCTGAACATCAAATTTTCTGGGTATAAACATAACGACGACACTTTCGGAAAACGATTATAGATTAAAACAGACTTTTATGGATATAACTATATATAATAATTTTGTTACTTATCTTAGCGGGACTAAAGTGCTGATAGGAATATCAGAAAAGGTAATGAACCAAAAGACCCGGCATTACCTTATTAGAGATGGGTTGTTGTACAAAAATAACCCACGAGACCCATGGAAACCCTTGAGAGTGCTAAAACCTAACGAGGTGGAACCCATCCTACATACGATGCACTCTGATCCTCTGGCTGGACATTTTGGAAAAGAGGCAACATACCAGAGGATCATCGTTAAATATTTTTGGCCTCAGATGGGAAACGATATAAAACGATATGTAGAGTCATATGACTCTTGCCAACGAAGAGGGAAGCCGAAAACTAGGGAACCCCTCCACCCAATTAAAATCGGACAGCCATTCGACCGATTGGGCATAGATATCGTTGGACCACTTCCAGATACCACCAGTAGGAAGAAATATATAGTGGTAGCCACAGAGTACATTACTAAATGGCCTGAGGCCCGAGCCTTAAATAAAGCGGATGCCGAATCGGTTGCATCCTTTATTTTCGAAGATGTTATTTGCCGACATGGTAGCCCCCGGGAACTACTTTCAGACCAGAGAACTCATTTTTGCAATAAATTAGTAGATTCCCTATGTGTCAAAATGAGAGTTAACCATAAGACCTCAACGGCCTACCACCCACAAACTAACGGGTTGGTTGAACGGTTCAACCGAACCCTTTTCGAAGTTCTAGCCCGATGTGTGGCGCAGTACAGAGGAGAATGGGACGAATTTATTCCTGCGGCTCTGTTTGCTTATAGGACTACACACCATAACGTCACTAGACATGAGCCATTCTTTCTCATGTATGGGCGGGAAGCTACACTTCCAGTAGAAACCGCTATCGTTACTTACCCTGTAGAGCCAATTACCGAATTAGGTCTACAAGATTATCTTTTCAGGAGGGTAGAAACTCTGCTTGGAAACCTGGAATCTGCAAGACAATAAGCGCGCATTAACGTGAGAAAATCGCAGCAGAAACAAAAAGCTTATCACGATAAAAAGAAAAAAATAGAAACTTACCAGATTGGCGATAAGGTTTTGATGCATAAAACGTCGCTGGAAACTTCTCATAGTGCAAAATTCGAACAAAGGTTCTCAGGTCCCTATTATGTCCATGACGTACATAGAAATGGCACCTACAAATTAAGGACTATAAACACTGATAACGAAGATAAGCAAACAAAGATCGAACGAGTCCTTAAGAAACCGGTACACGGAAACCGGTTGAAAAAGTATATCATACCCCTGTGATAAAAATCGCCATAATTATAAATACGATGAATTTTGACTAGTGTCAAAATTCAACGTCATGGAATTCACGATAAATTCGAAAATCGTTAAAAACGTCCTACAGTTACGAAAACAAATTGAAGGTTCGGTGGTAAGTGAGATCCGCATCACTAACGATACCTTCTCATGCTATGATAAAGAAGGAAGGATCGTAGATCTTAAATACGATCAAGGAATAACTACTGAACCAATGGAACAAGCCCGGTTATCCTTGTTCCTTAATGATTTATGGCAAATGGAGGTCCCAATGCGAGTTCTTGATAACGTGAAAGGGGAAACCTGGGAAGATCAGATTACATTGTTAAGGGATAAGATTAAAAATACTTGCCCTGATCCGGTCAACCTTCTCCAATATTATTACTTATTGGGTGAACGGTT